TTACAATTCAAAAAAGTCCCCAGAGTCACTAGTTTGACGCTCGAAGTGAGCGTCAAGCGTCAGCATGAAAATGCACCTTTAGCTTTTTCCACTTGACGCTACAATTCAAAAAAGTCCCCAGAGTCACTAGTTTGACGCTCGAAGTGAGCGTCAAGCGTCAGCATGAAAATGCACCTTTACATTTGTCGTACGACAAATTTTTCAAGCGTGTCGATTGGCCGCTGAATAGAAAGTTTCTAGATACTCAAGAATTTTACTATCCTTCAGCCAATCAATACGCTTAAAAACTTTGTCGTACGACAAATGTAATACCAGCCTGAGGGTACTATTACATTTGTCGTACGACAAATTTTTCAAGCGTGTCGATTGGCCGCTGAATAGAAAGTTTCTAGATACTCGAAAATTTTACTATCCTTCAGCCAATCAATACGCTTAAAAACTTTGTCGTACGACAAATGTAATACCAGCCTGATACGGGCTTTAGGCTGGATTTACATGGAGCGTAACTTGCGTAGCAACCACGAGACCACGCAGGCGCACAAAGCGGAGGCGCCAGCCAATCGGAGCTCGGGCCTCCGCGTGGCGCGTTTAGTCCCAGTCTACAATAGAGATTTAAGCCCTAAGCCTTAAGAAATTGACTAATCACAGTCGCGCATTCTACTCATACTTGACCGTGATTGGCCAATTTCTTAAAGCTTAGGGCTTAAATCATCTATTGTAGACTGGGACTTAGGAGCGCGCTGAAAGTCGTCGCTTGAAAGAAGGAGAGAACGATCGTCAACGATCTGGCGGGAACAGACGAGAACGGACAGGAACGGACAGGAGCGTGTCGGGGCGAACGACAGTTATTCTTCGCACGATTTTCAATCGTTTCGATGTCACTTCCGGCGTGGGAGATAACCGAACGGATGCTGAGTCGACGGCTCGCCTAGTGTACGTTCCAGGGCTTCTCTCGCCGACGGCAGGTCGCGACGACGAGGTGTCGGACGGCCGGGTCGCGACGACGGGATTTGAAACGGCGAGATTGCGTGTGCGGTTGTTCCCTGTTTAAATGCACCGTCAATCGACGCCGCAGGCAGTATGGAGAGCAACGCGGGGACTCGACGGAGGAGAGGAGCGACGGAGGCCGACGAGTGCCAGGCCAAGCGTGCCAAGTGCACCGAGGACTCCGAGGAGGACGTCGACGATGAGGTGCAGGACGAGGAGGTACCTTGCTCGGCGCGTCGATAACAATCGTCGCGGTTGATCGAACAGGCAGTAACGTCAATTGTACATTTTACGTTCTGAAACGTCGAGTCTTGCTTCGATTCTTGGGGAGGAGATTGTAAGGCTGCGAAGGCTTTATATAACCTCACTTGTTCCGAGGTTCGTGCTGTGGAAAGTGCGCCAGCAGAGGGAGAACCAAAACAAAGGGGTTCGCGATTGGTCAGGACGCGAGGACGTACGACTTTTGACTGGCTGTTTATGCATTTTTGCAAAAAAAACAAAAAAACAAAAACGGAAGGTCGTACGAAAGATACGAATTGATAGTGCGAGATAAGAGACACTTGACGTTACAAAGTCTGAAACGTTAGTTGATTGGTGACGCGGTGTCGGATAGACTGATAAAAGTTCACGCTGGCCATGCAGTTTTATGATTCATTGTGTATTGTCGTGTCTGTTGCAGCATACCGCTGGAAAGGTGAAGAAGGTTCGTGTGCACAACTTCATGTGTCACGATGCGTTGGAAGTGACGTTAAACAAGAACGTTAACTTTATCGTCGGACGCAACGGCAGTGGCAAGAGCGCGATATTGACTGCATTGACCGTAGGACTTGGCGCTAGGGCAAACGTCACGAGCAGGGGAACCTCCATCAAAGGTATTGTGTTGGAATGCATTTTTCAATGCTGCATGTACCATGTGACGATGTAATAATGCGCTGCTCGTCGGCTGCGACGTTTCAGAGTTCATAAAGAAGGGCAGGAACTCGGCTACTGTTGAGATAGTGTTGGTCAACAAAGGAGAATCCACGTACAAGCCTGAAATTTATGGCGACACAATTACAGTTGTACGCAACATCGGAATTTCCACGTCGAACTACAAGATTAAGAATTGGAAAGGTACCTGGAATACCGAGTCTTATTTTTAATGATCCAAGCAATCTGCGCTTGCTCTTAGGCCTGGTCTACAATGAGTTGTTAGTCAGAAGTCGGAACTATATGTTGATCCTTTTCCTTTCTGGGTGGAAGAAAGGATCGACATATAGTTCTGACTTCCGACTAACAACCCATTGTAGACTGGGCCTTAGAGAAATTCATCGTTTGCAGGAGACGTAATTTCCACGAAACGAGATGAATTGGACAATATTATATCGACGATGAACATACAGATTGATAATCCAATATCCGTCTTGAATCAAGATGTTTCGAGAACATTTTTAGTTACCTCCAAGCCCGATGAAAAGTATAGTCTGTTCATGAAAGCTACTCTCTTAGATGCCATTGAGATTAATTACAAGGAAGCTCTCAGCATATGCGAAGAGGAATATACAAAATTAAAGCAATATTCTGCGGTGTGTACACTGTTAATTTTATTCAGTTTTATTGTAGATGGTCAGTTTTTTTTCCTGTTTCTCATCTTTCGCTATTTTTCAGGCCTTGGCACAAGTAAAGGGAGAGATACACAAATTGAAGGACAGTATACATAGATTAGAGGAAATGGATGAATCGCGAGCTGAATTAAGTCATCTCGAAATGGAATACGAGTGGGCTATGGTGAGTTCCGGATATGAAAAAAGTAAATATTGTCACAGCAATTTTTGGGATGTTTCTTTTTTTTAATATTTTTGTCATTTAGGCGATTATGGAGGAGAATAAGCTTCGGAATATACAGGAGACCTTGAAGTTATACGAAAGTAAATTGAAACAGCTTGAGGATGTGGAATTATCTATTGGAACGAAGGACGAAGAAATTGATAGACAGATAGAGTAAGAATTAATTTGCAAATAAAATGAAATTGACTTCCTAAAGTTATCGCTATGAATAATTTTTAAATATTTACAGTACATTGAAACATAGAAGCTGTGATTATATAATTTTTTTTACTTTATAGGGAAATAAAGCAAAAAATTCAGCAAGCAGAAGAGGAAGTAAAAGATAGCAGCGGAGCATATAACAGCGCCAAAAAAAACCATTCGGATGCGAATGAGGAGTTCGGCGAAAAGCAACGCGAGTGGCGTTCTGTAATAAGCAAGATAAAACGAATGGAAGATGATGTTAGTTTGCTGAAGAAGGAAATTCAAAAGTTAGAAAGGTAAAGGCATTTTGTTATTGCATTATTTTTGCATTTGGTTTAGTTTATAATATTAATATATCTTTTACAGCTGCGACAATGAGCACAACAAAAGAAAAGAAATGATAGAGCAACTATCAAAACTGGAGGAAAGACTGGACGAACACGATGCCTCGTTACGCACTAGACAGACCGAATTAATGCATTTGGAGGCCGATAAGATGCGACATACGCAAGACGTACAATTTACCAAAATCGAGATGGAAAATTGCGGCAGACATATAAGTAAGTCACGTCTAATGATATATTAGTACTAATAATAGTGCGACTACTCGTGTAATCGATCTAAGAAATATATTTTATAAAATTAAAGGTAAACTCAAGAGGGACTTGAGCGCAGTCGAGCAACAATCGGATAATGCATTGAGTGTATTTGGGCCGAATATACCGCGTCTGTTGAAGAGAATCGAAGAGGAATACAGAAAAAGGCGATTCAAAGAAAAACCACGCGGGCCTATTGGTATGTAAAATTGCTTTGGGAGTAATTTAACTACTGTGACATCATTCCCGGTTTTAATAACTTTCGTGATCACGTAGGTGCTTTCATAAAAATGAAGGACGCGGCTTGGGCACCGGCAGTGGAAAATTTTCTCGGCGGTAGCTTCCTCAGCTCGTTCTGTGTAGATAATAGTCAGGATTCTAAGTTGTTGAACAGTATTATGAAGGAGATTTTTTACAACGAAAATACTCTGCAAATAATATGTAGCAAATTCTTTAACAAGGTAAAATAACGTAATCTTTTTTATTACTTAAATATTTGGAAATTGAAGTAGTTATTGAGAACAAATGGAACTTGATATATACAGGGTAGGCCATTTTAATCTACGCACTGAAATCTCTCAAAATCCATAAGTTTAAGACAAAAATGTTTCAGACAAAAGTTGTGCGGTTTCGAGGGGGCCGTAATAGGGTACCCATTGGTTTGACCTTGAAGAGTTATTTGAAGGTCACATGAAGGTCACGTTTAAATTTTTTTAATGGAACACCCTATATATTTTTGCATATTCTTGTAGCTTACCTCGAGAGCTTTCCAAAACACTGTAATAAAATATTTTTTTATCAAGAACTTTGAGTCGTAAAGCTTGATGGTTCCATTATTTTGACATAAATTATAAAATATTCATTTTTTTATCATCTTTTCTTAATCTACAAGTAAGCTACAAGAATATGCAAAAATATGTAGGGTGTTCCATATAAAAAATTAAACGTGACCTTCATATGACCTACAAATAACTCTTCAAGGTCAAACCAATGGTACCGTATTATGGCCCCCTCGAAACCATACAACTTCTGTCTGAAACATTTTTGTCTTAAATTTATGGATTTTGAGAGATTTCAGTGCGTAGATTAAAATAGCCTGCCCTGTATAAGTATTTAACATTTCCATTAAACCCTTCAGTAACAAGCAAAAGTAATAATTAAGACTGCTAGTTGTAACTTCAACAATTCGCATAATTAGCAGTCTTTTAAATATTTTAGGTCCACGATGTTAGATCTCACTGTATACAGTCGTCGCAGTATTCTAATCTCTTGGAAGCAATGGTTATAGAAGATCCTGTGGTTGCTAATTGCTTGATAGATCAACGTGAAATTGAGTGTATTCTTCTTATTCCAACAAGCAACGAGGCCTGCGAGATAATGTCGAACATGACGAAAGTGCCAAGAAATTGCAAAAGAGCGTTTACTTTGAACGGAGACACATTCTATCCTGATCCAAATTACAGAACTTACGGTGGAAGGGGTGGTATGCGCGCCAAGTTTCTTCAGGTCTCTACCATGGAAGCGATGCAGTAAGTGCAACAACTTGGTTCAGTTTGGAGTAGTCGGCTCTAGGGCAATTTCATCTTGCACACGTAAGAGAAAATTTAACGCAAATAATTTACATTAATTTGTTATATAGAACGCTGAAGGAAGAACTTCAGACAGCGGAAAACAAAAAGCAGGAAGTCACAATGGCATTTAACGCTGTATGCGAAAGAGAAAGGGTCACTAATTCAGAATTAACTAGAGTAGCCGCGACAGTCCGCAAGCTAAGATCCGCACAGAGTGAATGCACTAATTTGATTAACGAACTGAAAGATAAGATTGAGTCGAACGAGGCCACTTCCGCTAATGTTTTCGTAAGTAATCGGGCATGTTTCCTGAAATACTATTCTTTGTTCTCTGCCACAAAGCAGCTACGTTATTTAATGTGTTATTTATAGCGTAACGAAATCGCGGAATTGGAAAAGAAGCTGGCACTGGAAAGTGCCACGGAGAAACTTTTGGCTGAAAATGTGCAGAAGCTTCAGAAGAACGTTGAGTCTCTCAACACGGAAGTCAGGCGATGCAGGGATTTGAGGCACAATTCACACATGGTGATTGATCCTCTTAAGGTACGTTTACATTATTAATGAGATACTTAATCTCGGTTGATATGGCGATAAAGAATATTTTGTATGTACATCTTTGCACAGGATCAAATAAAAGAACTCGCGCAGGAGAAGGACATGCATCGGCAAGATTGTCAGCGTGCTACTCGAAAGTTGAGGGAAATTCGCCAGGACGTACAACGCGCTACGGGGGAATTCGAAAAGCAAGAGAGGGCAACAGTGAAAGCGGTCACCGACGCCACTGAAAAATGTCCCAGGATAAATACCGCCAGGTTAGCGTTGTAAAATGATGTAACGTGATGTGCACAAACACATCTGGACTTTTATTTATAACTTGTTTGCGTTACCTACGTCGCGCTTCTATACCTCGCCTTTCGCAGATCGACAAACCAAATCAAAATTTTACTAACCGATTTACGGGACAAGATTCGCGAGATAGAAAATCAGTTCGGCTGCGTAGACGAATTGCGCCGACAACTGAAGGAAAAGGAGCAAAAGTATGGAGTGAACATTGAATTTACGGCTCAATTAAAACAGAGTTTTGAAGTAAGTGAAAATTGTCAGTATCATTTTTATGAACCATTCATCATTTGACAAGCCATTTGTGTGCTTTGTTAGAAACATATCGCGCGGGTGAAGCAGCGACAGAAAATGTTCCTTCAACTGAGGGACATGTACAGTACATGCATACAGAAGTCTTTCACCGACATGCTTTCTTTAAGACAATATACGGTAATTATAAAATAATTTTTGTAAAATAATTTTAAAAAAATTACATTCTATTGTAACTCGCCAATGCTTTTTTTCACCAGGGCAAAGTAGTGATCGATCATGTAAACAAAGTGCTCGACTTGCACGTGAGTGCGCGAAATGATAAAAAGGCGGGCAACGACACCAGATCGCTCTCGGGAGGCGAACGATCTTACTCGACCATGGCGTTTATCTTGGCTCTCTGGGATTGCATTCAGCTACCCTTCTACTTTCTCGATGAATTCGATGTATTCATGGTAAGCCGTTACGCTCTTATACCTCTTGAGTTTGTCTTGCACAAAACAATAACCGCTCGCCTTGCGTGCTTGTTTGCAGGACAAAGTAAACCGGCGAGTGATAATGGATATTCTTTTGGATCACACTAGATCGCATCCACAGAGCCAATTCGCTTTCCTCACGCCGCTAGATACGTCGCACATTCTTGCCGAGGATTACGTAACAATTCATCAGTAAGTTCTTACGGAGAAAATATAATGAAATCTTTTATTTACTTTACATAATAAATAGATTTTCTGTAATATTAAAATTTGTAGTATTGCGAGACAAACTTCAGAAACATATTATAGCATTAACACTTTGAATACATGTGCTTTTTTTTGTTTCTTTCAGATTACAACCACCTGAGAGAAAAAATCTGAGTCAGTGAGTGTTAAAATAGGTTTTCTTTCTTACTTTTTTAAAAATTAATTTAATATTTCCATGTTTGTGAGGTAGGAAAGTATTTTAAGTTATAACGTAACGAAAGCGTATGAGACTTGTTCTCCGGCGTCAAGCAAATATAATTTATTTGTTGTGTACTGTTGAGAGGGGAAACTCTCTGCTTCTCGCCGCGGACATGTTGGAAATAGCGACATGAATTGTCAGTATTGTTATTTCCCATTTCTGGCTTCACGATCCAACTTGTCCGCGGCAAGCACTCAGGAGCTTCAAAGTGTCTTGTTTCGTGTGTGGAAATAAAACGTCGAAATTTACAATTACATTACAAATTTACTTTGCGTTTTATCCGTCCAAGTGATGGAACAGATTGTTTAGAATATATGTTTTTGTACGTACGCGGTATTAGGTACTGTCTGAATAAATTATTCACGGTTTACTTGAATTACGATACTCGGAATGAGAGAGTTTTGGTTAGACAAGTGCCTTTGATTGTACCGTGTAATAAATGTGATTTACACATAGATTTTCTCTGGATAATAAAATTTCTATCAAATCGTACGCAGCGTGTTTCGACAATCTCCGTTTAAATTCCAAACGCGATTCCTCCCCCAGACTCCTATCGTCGCCCCAGTCTCAGCGGAGTGTGACGTAATTATTTGATACCCGGACAAATCAACCGGAGGATTCACGAGAGACTTGTCTTCGGGTTTGACGCTCGTTGCCAAAACGGGCGGGATATCCAGAATAGCCGGAGATGAACGAGGTACGAAACATTACGCGCCGCGGACCACGCCGGGCCGGTAAGTGGATCAAGGTTCGCGCGGCATTGCGCGAATCTGGTCCGGCCCGGGGTTCCCGGCTATAACGCAACACGCCTTTACGCATTACGCCCGTATTACATGCGACGCGCGTGAGCCGACTGGCCGCCCGGCCGGTGCGTGCGTCGGCCGGCTGGTCGAGGCGTGGTAACCGGCGTTACGTAATCCGCACGCTGGCACTTGATCGGAGAAAGTGCCCGGCGAGCGCTCGTGAATCGGTAATGCGGTAATGTCACGGAAAGGCGGGATAACGCCCGGTGGGCCCGCGGCAGGTAGTACCTGACCTAATTTCGCTAATTGGGCCCGGTCGAACTCGACGTTTCCTCGTCGACTTTCGATCCGCGGCGACTTTTTACACCACTTTTCGGCAAGTTGGATAACGTATTACGTTATGACGTATTACGCGCGTTTAAAAATTCGAGCGCACATGCCCGCACGAATTTACGTAATTGTCTCGCGCTTTTTTTCGCGTGTAAACGACACCGGCGCCAATTTGAAATTTATCGTCGAATAGTGTAGCCTCTATCGAGCTCGATAGACGCGCGTGTTTATTCGCTTTGATACGAGGAAAAGATGCGTCTACGTTGCAATACTTTGCGCTTTCAACAGTCTTGGTATCTTAACACGTGGGTTAATAAACGATGACGATTAGGACGAAGTTGTAACTATGAGAGATAGATGGTTCCGTGAGAAAGTGATGATTATTCAAACATTCAAGACACAAATCCAAGTCTTATTCTAATATCTAGATGATCGGAAAATGTACAAGAGAAAAAGCTGGCCGAAGACATTTCTTCCGCCGGCACGTGAGAAAATGAATTGCGTAATTATATATTAAAAAGTGATCTTTCTGAGGGACGCAGCTGCTAAGTCCAATTCAAACCGGATTCTCAAGGCCCGACTTAATTACTGCACGGAGATACATTGAAGATAGGCGAAGACAATTCCCATGCGACTTATGTACTTGCTACGAAAACTGAGATTTATTCGATAAGTATCATTCCTAAGTGGTGGTCAGGTCACAGTTCAGTGGAGGTAGGCAGCGGGGGCGGCGTAGGAGAAGGCGGGCGCGGCGGCGACCTTGGCGAACGGCGAGGCGTAAGCGAGAGCGGGAGCCGGTGCGGCGTAGCTGGCGTAGGTGATGGGGGCGGCGTGGGCTATCGGGGTGGCGATCTTGGCGACCGGGGCGGCGTAGGCGAGGGGCGCGGCGGCCGGGGCGACATGGGCCACGGGGGTGGCGATCTTGGCTACCGGGGCGGCGTAGGCGAGGGGTGCGGCGTGCGCGACGTGCGCGACGGGGGCGGCGGCGGGCTCCTTGCGGACCACGGCGTTGAATCCGTTGACCGGGTCGGCGGTGTAGTCGACGATGCGCCTGGTGCCGTCGGCCTCCAAGAGGGAGTAGCTACCCTGAACGATGTCGCCGTCGCGGGTCTCCTGCTGGCTCTTGGCGTCGCCGGTCAGGCTGTCGTGCACGTCGTAGGCGTAGCTGTACTGTGGATGCGGGTCGAAGTCGGCGTCGACGGCCTTAGCTACCACGGCCTTGGCGACGGGGGCGGCGACGACCGCGGGGCCAGCGGCGTAGGCCAGGGGGGCGGACGCGATTACGCCGGCGTTCGCGGCGGCGATCAGGGCGGCGAGGACGACGAACTGGCAAGAAAGGACAAGAAATCAATTAAATCACAGTGAAATTGTCCGCTGGAACTGCACGTAAGATAGACACGAGATAAAATTGTATAGAAATATAGAAGTTGATGTAGTACGCGCCCAACGTGAAGGAGAAATGTTAATTGAAAACTTCGATCGTTCCAAATGGTAAAACGAAGATTAACCAATGTAGAAAATTGCATGGCGACCCATGGCCGGCAAATTCTGATTAAAGAAATTCATTGCGAAAAATATTACCTCAGCCAGGGTTCGAACCTGGACCTCCCTAGTCCCGGGCGTCTCACCAATTCGACGCCCGCCTAGAGTGTAGGGAGGTCCAGGTTCGAACCCTGAGGTAATATTTTTCGCAATGAATTTCTTTAATTAGAATTTGCCAGTCATGGGTCGCCATGCAGTTTTCTACATTGGTCAATCAATTACTGGCGTTAAATAATTCTTTACGTTAGAACAAAGATTGTTTGCATTTTGCGCCAACATATAATCTCTCTTTGTGATACAATTTTAATACATTGCACGCAAAATACAAACGATAGTCAGCCCGATGTGGAGAGGCGAGAGGACTCGCGAGAGCAGAGGTGGCGCGAAAGCTGCTGTAGAATCGATCAGAAACGTTAAACTTTCGACCGGTCCCGCGAGTATCGTTAATTGCCCCGTTTCTCGGTCTCGATTTAATGGAGTGACAGCGGGAGAAAGACGATACCCCACGAGCGCACCGTTCCCTTATTTTTCTCGCGATTCGTTACGGAGGACCCAATCGAAGTGACAAGTTACAGGTACGTCGCGGGTACTTCACCGACAGGAGGATTATCGAGGCACCGAAATGTACTTTCCCGGCGCGGCTCGGAGCTTACGTCGAAAAGGACACGAGAGGACGTAATACCTTGAAGGCCATTGTTGCTCGGGTGATCGGTAGTTCGCTCGATCTTGCGAGTCTGATGCGAATGATACCAATGGATGGATGGTTTTCGGCTTTTATACCGCTCCGCCCGAGGCCTGGGAGGCCCACACACCACACCACACCACACCGCAGCCACGGCGCACGTACACTTACACACGTCAGGCTGTACCCGCTCACTGATGTAACTGGGTGACGGTACCTTCGACGACCACCCGATTCGCGGTCGCGAAGAGTGCGAAGTTGAGCAAGAAATTGGACCACGCCCAATGAGAGCGACGAGCCGAGATCGGATCGCGGCGTGAAGGACCAATCTTCGGCACCGGTCGTCGTCGTCGGGGACTAGGCCACGTCCTTGCCACGAGTTACCTGATCCTCCACCGCTCGGCCCGCGCTCGCCCCATCGAGGGTTATTACAAAGTATTTATTCTTTCACTTCTCTTAGCCACCGCATTTCTTTCTTCTCCCTTTTCTTTTCCCACGTACGATATCTTGCCTTTGCGAGGCTTCGCCGGCGGCTCACGGGAATCCGTGCGATTTGGCCGTTCTTAATGCAGAACAAAGCATGATGTAGATTAATGTAATGAAAAAATAATGATATACGAAAATTATCTCGCGCGCTGATATTGATTATCTGTTCATGGTCGTAAAGACCTTGTAATACTTATATTTCTTATATTGCAAGACTTTCCACCGCAAGCGTCATATTTTACAGATTATTTTTCTTCTTTAAGGATTGCGTCCTTACACACGTGAAACGAAATTCTTTCAGGTGTCGCACAAAGTGCGCTTGTCAGTTCGCGAACTCGATAAGGATATTTTCGGCTTTTAAGTACGACTTTTATTTTTAATTACATAAACGAACAAATACGACCAAATACTTGTCGCGAGTTCTTTATGTCGTGCTTACGCTTGCACAGAAAAAAAAACGAATATTCTTCTTTGGAAAGTACGTTTAGTTTCAACGTGAAAATCTTGAAATGAGATCATATTGCGTTAAAGGAAGAAAATCTTACTTGAATGAAGCAATTTTATATAATTCAATCAAGAAACACATATATGCTTATTATTTAAGAATTAGTTTCTTGAGTGGAAAAGAAACAATGCTGGATAGAAAATGACATATTTTTTAATCGAAGATTGTAACGATACGTGTTCTTGAAGTGACAATTTCAGTAGAGAAAAGTCCTCTATTATGAGATAGGTTTCTAATATGAGATAGCAGGTTTTCAACACTCAACTTCAATCGCAAATCTTCTTTCGCAACGATTGCACAAACCAACGATGAATTTTTCGCTAAACAGATCTCGCTCCAAGGGCAACAAATTCACGGCGGAATCAACTGACGATGCCTGTTAATTTAACAGAAACCCCGCTGTCCCATATTAGGATCCTATCTCATAATGGGGGACTTTCCGCTGCTTAAATAATATTAATTGATAGGAATATTCTTCAAGTCGCCGGCAGTATTTAACAACGGTAATTTTCTCGACCGTATCCTGGCATTTTTAATAACAAAGAAAATTTATTGCGAAAAATATTACCTCAGATATTGCCTCGGCGGTCGAATTGGTGAGACGCCCGCCTAGAGTATAGGGGAAGCCCAGGTTCAAACCCTGGCTGAGGTGATATTTTTCGCAATAAATTTTCTTTGTCATTAAAAATGCCAGACATGGTCAAGAAAATACTGAAGTCGTTAAATAATATTGTTGGAACGTATAAGGTTATTAAATGCTTCTAAGAAGATTATAGATTGTTGCGTATATACAAAACAATGGACGCCTTAATTTGAGTACATGAGAGCTGATCTGACACTTTTTTTTTTCTGTGTGCAGTCTTGGTCCACAGAGTCCGCAGTAAATAGCATAACTTTCTTTTCACGAAGACTCTCCCGGCTCTATCAAGATCTGCTCAGCTACAGTCTTTCTTAGAGCTCATTTGTCATTCTATTCTCTTTGCAGATTTTTCTTAACTGGTCTTTGACCGGTGACTTTAATGCCGCGCATGTTTTAATCCTATTCGCTCGGCCTGGGCATTGTGACCTGCATTGAAGTTCCTACACTGCGAAGCTATTTTTCGCGATTGCCGCGTTCGTTTAGAAATTACGCTTGGATACGCGCGATACTTTTGTGAGATAATTTCTCAAATTGGTGAATAGAGTTTGTAATTAGCGATTTCGACAATTGAAGCAACCGTTACCATTGAAGATACTACGGCATGGCCATCTTTTACGATTACATAATGTAGCATATTAATCCAATATTATTTAGCACCTGGAAACTTCAACATTGTATCAAAATTACAGATTTTTAATATGTCGTGTTGTCGTTAGCAAATAAACTGAAATTGCAGTATCTTAATTACCAGGCATTCTCTTGTCACATGAAACGTAATTTAATCAATGTGACAATTGCACAGTGCTGTGCAATATCTTGACACGATGCCTTGCATCAACTTGCGTGAGCGACGACGAGTGCGTCGATCGATATTCAAGCCAGAAGTTAATGGATACGTAAGCCGCTTGCCCGGCTATCGCCAATCCAGATAATTATGCGAACCGTTTCGAAATGTTGTCCCGTGTAATTTTGAAGTCTGACGAATTGTAATATTTTGCATTGCGAAACGCACAGTCAGTGTGCACGCAACATGGGCGAATTCCGCTCGGAAGTGACAATAATTCTCCGTAATATGAAAATCGAAGCGCGAGACACTAAGGAACATTCGTACGAATTTAATTTCGCGTACAATTGCAATTTAAGGCCCCGCGAATGCCCAAGTCGCAGGTTACAATTCATGCGTTGCATACATAAGATTCTTATATCGACTTTAATATTTATCGAAAAAATATGGTACGGACTAAAATAACAAAGAGAGACCTCGATCACACATATTTTATTTGGCCTATTTTATTATAATAATATATCGCATTGGAAATATACGTACCTGGCGTGGTACCTGTTGCATTTTTCGATGCTGTTACAAGTGAAAGATATCGCGTATCTTACCATGTTAAGGGGGACGAAGGTCGCGGGTTTTAATATACATAAATAAGACATACATTACGTCGCGATAATGTGCGCGGCTCAACTTGGAAATTACAGCTGGACTTGTCCCGATAATTGACACGCGCCGCGGAGATCCGGATCAAAGTGTTTTTCCCTCGTCCAAGAAGGCGAGCTCGACCAATGTCCGGGCCATCCGGTATGTAATTTATTGCCGATTCACTATCATTCACAGACTTCCTGCCGCGACCTTCGTTTGATTCGGCCGATCATTCCCATACTCGCTGACAGGTCTGTTTTCTTTTTCTCTCCTTTTCTTTGCGCCAAACGAAATTACGCCCTGTACCTCGTGTACCTCGTAAACTGTCCCCTATATGGTAAAACATCGAGTGCATTTTGACGAAAACGTTGAAGGAACGCGGTGACATCGTTGTAGCGTACTTGTCGCTAACTCTCCGCGCGCCTAACGCGATGATGCAAATTGCGATGGTGCAACTGCGTGTCGCAGAATTAATTAAATCCCTCAATGGGCATCCTTTGGAGCTACAAATTCAAGCGACGAAGAATGAATAATTTATATCAACGAAATCCGATTCATATGTGTAGCGTTTCCTACTCGCGATATAAGTGAGGATTTCTAAAAGTGCACACGCGAAAGATACCGCAAGGGTTCGCTCGTCGCGGGCACCACGTCCAAAAGTCTCTTCCTCGATGATCGCGTTACACACTCGAAATCTTCGGCACCTTTGTGCGGCGTTTCGCCCTGGCGAAAATAAAACGTTTCATAAGTTCTTGTATATAGCGTTTGCAGGAGTTCGTTGAGAGTTTAGATATAGTCGATAGAGAATTTGTAGAGCGGAAATTGCAACGCTGCGGCGTTTAGAAGACGTTTGTATATAGCATTTTTAAACTTAGCGTTGTAGAACTTTTATGAAACGTTATACACAGTATTTTATAAGCGTTCTGAAAGCGTTTAAAACACAACGGCGTTGTGTAAATTCTCATAAAGTTTGAAAGCGTATGAACTTTTAAAAAACCTTCATTTAACAGTTATCAACGCTTTATAAAGCTTGTCATTTTGCGTTAGCTTCGAGATCCTGGCCCCGAATTTCTTCACGTTAACCCCAGTCTACAATAGGTGTTTTAAGCCCTAAGAAATTGACCAATCACAGTCAAGTATTCTCCTCCTTTTTTACTGTGATCGTTCAATTTCTAAGGGCCGAGGGCTTAAAACACCTACAATAGACTGGAACTCGGGAGCGACGATTTTCTTCACATTAGTCTCAGCCTACAATAAATGTTTTAAGCCCTAAGCCCTTAGAAATTGACCAATCACAGTAAAAAATGAGGAAAATACTGGACTGTGATTGGTCAATTCCTTAGGACTTAAATTATTGTAGACTGGAACTCGGGACCGACAAATTTCTTCACGTTAGTCCCAGTCTGCAATAGGTGTTTCAAGCTCTGAGCCTTTAGAAATTGACCAATCACAGTAAAAAATGAGGAGACTACTGGATTGTGATTGGTCAATTCCTTCCTAGTCAGAAATGTCTCGTCGATCGACGTCGAAACGACGTCGTATGGACATCGAAACCGTTATATTGACGTCGATTCGACGTCGTTTCGACATCGATTGACGAGTCATTTCAGACTGGGTTAGGACTTAAATTATTGTAGACTGGGACTCGGGACCGACAAATTTCTTCACGTTAGTCCCAGTCTGCCATAGGTGTTTCAAGCTCTGAGCTCTTAGAAATTGACCAATCACAGTAAAAAATGAGGCGACTACTGGACTGTGATTGGTCAATTCCTTAGGACTTAAATTATTGTAGACTGGGACTCGGGACCGACAAATTTCTTCACGTTAGTCCCAGTCTGCAGAGGGTGTTTCAAGCTCTGAGCCCTTGGAAATTGACCAATCACGGAAAAAAAAGAGGAGAATACTCGACTGTGATCAATTTCTTAGGACTTGGGACTTAAATCTATGTAGACTGGGACTTAAGCTGACACGTCGGTCGAGATGGCGATTTCACGCGGGCAGTGGACCGCCAGGCGACAGAGCGGACGGCAAAAACCGAATGATAGCGGCCAGCGAAATTTCGTGCCCCGATCGGCACGAGGCTGACCGATAATGCCCGCGGGCCCGCGATCAATCGGCGCGGGCCCCGTACCTCGGGCCGCGCGATATTCGGCAGACCCGCCTATTTCTTCTTTATGAAAGTGCTCCACTTCTCTCTTTCTCTCCGGCACGGGCGCCCCGGCGACGTTAGACGATGTGACGCAACAACGCGATCCCGGCCTGCCGCGACACATTTAGCAGGGACACGTGAATCTATATGGCTCGAAAGTTTCGCGTCGAACGACGCTCGTGATTTTCGTTCTCTAGATACCATCTCTCGTGCGTGGGAGGAGATAAAGGATGCCCCGGGACAATTGATCGTACTTCTGATGAAGAAATTAATATTCCTTCATAGAAAACTTTCTTTTCGGGGGGAGGGGGAGATACGATACATTGTACTCTTGTTAAGTAAAAAGAAAATATATATGTGAACAAAGCGTGCAGAAATCATTTTTAATTCATTAATTTTAACAAAACTGACAGAGTCTTCAATTTCCCATAGTCAATAGATCTTCTATAGTTTGTCATATATTTAAAAAATTAATTTATACATGTAACTAGAGAATATTCATGCAGGAATCGTGAATTTGAGGACTAGAGAGATTCAATAGTCGCGAAGACAGACGTAACGATATTTTTTCTGAGAGTGTCCTCAATAATCTCTATTGCACTGTTGTTATTTTAGGAACCATTTACAATCACATTCTAAGAATAATACTGTTGCGACAGTTATAGATTGACGTCTACACGAACATCAGCTTCCATCTCAACGGCCTGAGATTCTTAAAGTGTATTTTTTGCCGGGCCTCATATGACGCAAGCTCCTTTCGTCTAACCGCGTTGGAAATCTATATTAATTTTCTAATCTATTCTCGCCACTCGAGAAATCGTTTCGCTCAAGGATCGCGTACGAAAAGCGGGGTTCGGCATGGTCAGTAATGTAACAGGGCCAAACGGATGTTGCACAATGACACGAGACAATTGCCCCAATAAATGGAAAAGAAACATACGAATTGATTTGTGGTATACCGCAGCAGATAAATGCGAAACCATTATTGTAAATAAACACGCACTTGTGACCGGCCCTTCACTTTTTATTTCATATAAAGTGCTGCCTTTATTCGCGGTATAAATGTGGAGGGACAAAAATGATAGCCGTGCTACTCTGTATTCCTTCCTTTCGCTGCCGAACCGAACAAATTTATTATCACATTATTCGTTATCGAATAGTGCAATAACAAAGTTCAGATTCTTTGGGAAATTTCTTTTCGGGGAAGAGAAAAATGAAATGTTGTTTCTTTAATTTATATACACCATTTGTATATTCTCAGCGTTCAAGCTTGCCTGTTATTATTAGAGGAAAGTTCTCTATTAGGACTCTAATATGAGGTAGTAGGTTTTCAACATCCGAATTCAGTCACAAATCTTTTCTCGCAACGATCACGCGATCTAACAATCAGTGTTTCACTAAACAGATTTCAGAATTCCTGCGGCCCCCATTTAACAGAGAGATTTCGTCCCAAGGGCAATAAATTCATGGTGGGACCAGCAAATGATGCCTATTAATTTAGCAGAAACTCATCTCATAATAGGGGACTTCCCTCTATATTCGCTTGTATGTTAATCTTATGCGAAACTTTACACAAATTCTCTTAGTTAATAAAACATGTTTAAAAATGTGACTGTCTTATTCGTGATGCATCATGTCTTGGGATGAAAAATGCTGTGCATCTGCAGTGACTGAAGTGAAATCGTATCGAGCCACTTCCGTCTTCGCCGTAAAAAATTGCTCGTCGCGATAGATCCCTCCAAGCGTCCGCGAACTATCGGGAGCGAGGGTGCGCGATTGCGAGCTGCCGGCCAAGTTCAAGTGCGGTCGGCCGTCAACGCCAGCGAACTTTCAAAGTCCGGCATCAGGTACGGTTCGACGGTGGGGAACCATACGATGGTAGACCGGACCACTATATAAAGCGGCCGCGATCAACACCGCACATCATCAGTTTCGCTTTGGACGATCCAAACCAACCAAATCTACTCAAGAATGGCGTTCAAGGTGGGTAAAGGATCGCAAACGCGGAGGACCTGCCGAGTCCGTTAGACTGCGGGGTCTAATTCGACTCGGTTGTACACTCACAGTGCACGAGGAGAAGGGCTTATCTTCTAGGATTCGCTCTCGGATAGTAAAAATTCGCGAGTGAACGTCAATCGGACACAATTGACGCAAATACCAAGTGTATACCGAAATCAATTCGGGATCGATTTGATATTGTCAAGAAAAGCTTTGCAATTTCTTAGATCGACTCAACAAAGGTTTATACGTTATAATATTCTTTTGCAGTTCGTCGCTTTCGCCGCCCTCGTGGCTGCCGCCAACGCCGGCGTTCTCGCGCCCGCAGCCCCCTTGGCCTACGCCGCGGCTCCTTACGCCGCGGCTCCCGCCGCCCCCTTGGCCTACGCCGCGGCCCCCGCCGCCCCCTTGGCCTACGCCGCGGCCCCCGCCGCCCCCCTGGCTTATGCCGCCCCCATCGCCAAGGCCGTGGTGGCTAAGACCGTCGATGCCGACTACGACCCGCATCCCCAGTACAGCCTACGCCTACGACGTGCACGACAGCCTGACCGGCGACGCCAAGAGCCAGCACGAGACCCGCGACGGCGACCTCGTTCAGGGTAGCTACTCTCTCTTGGAGGCCGACGGCACCAAGCGCACCGTCGACTACACCGCTGACCCAGTCAACGGATTCAACGCCGTAGTCCGCAAGGAACCCGCCGCCGTCGCCGTCAAGGCCGTCGCCCCGGTCGCCGCCGCCCCCTTCGCACACCCCGCCCCCCTCGCCCCCCCCCCCCCCACCCCCAAGCTCCCCGCCCCCGCCCCCACCCCGGCCCCCCCCGCCGCCCCTCCCCCCCCCCCCCACCCCCCCCCCCCCCCCCACACCGCCCCCCCCCCCCCCCCCCCCCCGCCCCTCGCCTACCGCCGCCCCGTCGCCAAGCCTGGCTGCCCCCCTCACCTACGCCGCCCCCGTAGCTAAGATCGCCGCTCCTGCCGTCGCCCACGTGGCGCACGCTGCACCCCTCGCCTACACCGGCTACGCCGCGCACGCCGCGCCCCTCGCGTACACCGGCTACGCTGGCTACGCCGGCTACGCCGCGCACGCCGCACCCCTCGCGTACTCCGGCTACGCCGCGCACGCCGCGCCCCTCGCGTACGCCGGCTACGCCGCGCACGCAGCCCCCATCGCCAAGGTCGCCGCCGCCCCCGCCATCTCCTACGCCGCCCCCGCTACCTACTACCACTAATTGTGCGGACCCCGCCAATCTACATTGTCCCGACTCAGGCCGAACTTATTTATTTTTATATCATGTATATGTTCTTTCTATCTGACTGATTAAAGAAATTACACACGTACTTGGGATTATTCGTTTGCGCCAGACCTCGCCAGGCCGCTCTTCGCTGCGGTATACAAATACATGTACAGTACATTAGCCACGTTTAAATAAAACATACGTAATGAATCTAACGTGTATAACTTATGTGCAGTGTTAGATATTGCAAACGTTGCAAACGAACGATCTGTAGAAAATTAGAATACGATCGGAAAGAATCTGGGTCTTCCATTCTCTACGATGAAAGGGCGCTCAAACATTGCAAGGAACACGCTCACACGAGTTATTATTATCAATTCCAAGTAAAAGAAGAAGAGAGAAAATAGCGAAGACACGGGTGAAATAAACAAAAGTTACAGCTGCGATGTTAACGATCGGTTTATACAAATTCTTCCCATTAACGCAGGATAAAGAATGTTGTCTAATTACAAGAAGAGACGAGTAATTTGTCCGACTGATAGAAAGTAATGAGGGAGATCACCTTGATCTGATATTGATTTCCAATTTAAGGGGCCGTAATTGACTTTAATGCACTGATCAATTTATCGCAATCGCATAATTACCGCCCGATCGTTATGTATCTCACGCGATACCGGTTTTATTTCGAAGGACCGCGCATTGATCTCAATACACTGTAACTTAGTACACTGAAATGTCTCGCTTCCAGTCGCAAAAGTTCTTGAACCTTAAAATGTTTCGGGGCGGCAAAAGTATTGTGGAGAAGAAATATTTGTTTAAAAATATCCGGAATCAATTAAGTGCAATATTCTACGAATTACAAAATTTTTTACGAGACTTTCTTCGCCTCTTTCGCCGCGTGATCCACTATGTTCTATTTACCGAGCGGATAACATTGTGTCGACCAAAAGAGTCCACGTTCGGTGTTTATTTAAGCACCGTCGCCGTCCTAGAATTTCTGCGAGAAGAATGGCGAAATGATTAGAGCAATCAAAATCTAGATATTCGAGCGATTACCACACGTGATGTGCTAATCGCGTGCGTCATATACGCGACATTCTAGCTCGCGATTGCAATTCGTATTGTTCTGTGTCGTCATGCTAATATAAATTCACGACGCGATGTCGAAACTCCTCCTCGCCGCTGTCGTTTGTGCCGAATCTATTTCGCATTTCATTTCCAACGCTGACACTCTCGCGATTCGGAATTGCCGAAAGCTGTCCCTGCGTGGCGTGTTTACGACGTGCGACATTAAACACAAATTTGCGGATTACGGAACGTGGACAAGAGAGAGAGAGAGAGAAGGAGTAGAAAACTCGCCACTTTATAACTCGCTCCAATTTCCAATTATGTAACTCGTGACTTAATCTTAATACAAAGTTATATGCTTCATTACATTATAAGTTAATGCCCGCTTTTACGTGGGACGAGTAGCAAGTATTCATGAAATTTAGAAATATTTAAGGCTCCGGATAGCATAAGCTGGGCGTTAAAATTTGTTTAAATGTCGAGTCAATGTTTCATTTGAGTTTTAAAACATTTATTGAATTGTTTGCGAGATATAAATTTAAACGTGGAATTCGTTTATGACATGTTCACGGTTACCCGTGTTCAAAGTGCGTTTAACGATACAATGTCAAACGTTTCCATTATAGTTTTCTAAGTCGCGGCCCCGCGATAAAGGCCTGCGTCCACGATGCTAGGGCTCGGTCCAAGTTCTAATTTCGAGAAATGTGTAGCCAATCAACTTGCGGCTATTCCGTCAAAGCTGCAAGTGGACTGGCTACACATTTCTCGGGACTAGAACTTGGACCAGGTTCGCCCTTACAGAAATGTATACTGGAAACGAAAAGAAGGCACTGAATAATTACCAGAGTTGAGAAAGTTACTTTATAAAAAGTATCTGGTTACAGTTACAGTTTGTTCGCTAAAAATGTAACTATAGTTACAGTTACCAATTCTGAAAAGTAACACGTTACAGTTATAGTTACTCAAAAAGTAACGAATCGTTACTTTGCAGTTACTTTCTTGCGATGAAGATAAAAAGGTCAAATCTGCATTTGAATTGTAAAGTGTCCATAAAGGCGTTTATGCGCAAATGCAAGACCTAATGCAATCAGTGGAGGTTTAAAGTGCCCAAGGAAAACTGAAAAGTCAAGTTGACGTTAATTTAACGTCATATTGACCAAAATATGACATAAATTTGGCCAATATGACATCAAATTGGCATCACCTTGACTTTTCATTTTCCCTGGATACATATCAAGTAGCTCTTAATGTAACTATTAAATTAGTTACTAGTTATCGAAGAGGTGTAACTGAGTTAAGTTAGACCCAGTGAGAAATGATTCGTCGATCGACGTCGAAATGATGTCGAATCGACGTCAATTCGACGGTGTCGATGTCGATTCGACATCCACGGTCCAGTAATTGGAATTATTAGAAATTGCCGATGTACTAATTTGCCAGTAATTATTTCCGCTCATATTTCCGCGAGGGCCAGGCATCGTGGACGTGGGCCCCTCGCGCCCCGAAACGGGCAGCGCTAAATTTCTCGGTCCCCGAGCGGGTCGCACGTGCCCTTGATGCATGGGGTAAACTTTCGCGCGTAATGCGGCGATCGGTGTCACGTTATTTCTGGCGTTCGCCAGAATTGACCCACTTTCTCCGCTTTTCGCTCGTTCTTTCTCGAGCACCTCCCCGCGAGGCGCGCAGCCACTTTTGTTCGCCGGTCTCGATCGGCCGATTGCAAAAGTGCCGTTGCACCGCCTAAGAATCGCATGACAATGGAAAGACACCGATTTTGCGAATGCAATGTCGCCCGTCGCGTTCTGCCGGCCGGCGATGACTCCGCGCGCCGCGCGGCATGAGTCGCGTCAATTCCGCTCATTCCGAGACTTATAAATTGAACCGAACGTTTTGCCGAATAATTCTGCCACGCTACATTCGCCTCATTAGCGTCGCAATGCTATTCAATTTTACTTTCGGTCGTTTTCAGGTTGGGAATTTTAATTGCGAATCCTTTACAATCAAGGTATTTTAGTGATCGTGCAAGATTAAAGTTACAATATTCCCTGTCACCGCAGTGCATTAAGCCTGATCTACAACGTGCCCTTTGCGCCTAGAAACATTCTATTTTATGCAAGCAAATCGAAACGCTTAAAAACTTTGTCGACAACGTACGATTGTACAATGTCTAATGTGCAACTTATCAACTTGCACACATCTTTTCAATGCATTTATTGGCTACAAAATAGAATGTTTCTAGACACAAAGAACACGGTGTAGATTAGGCTTTAGTGAATAGATTGCGGTGATGTTGATTCAGGATGGATTGGGAAAAAACGGTATCTCTGAGCAAGAGTAGCTTGTACGGCTTCATATTCTTTGCCATATAACATTAATATAAAATGGAATAGAATAGAATAGAATTAAATCTTTATTGGCCTTATTTCTTTATATTTTAAATGACCAGCCTGTTTAGTTTACTTATGAATATTTAGTTATTAAACACTCCGGGACAAGTCCCCTAAAGTGTTAGACAAGCTGCAAAAAAAGGGGGTGAGAAATAGGCCTTTGTATAACAAAAAGTTTGAGTATAGAAAAATGTAATATAAATGGAATATAAAACCAAGGATAGTATATAGAAAGATGCTGCAGATTACAATTATATATGTACAATTACGTAACTAAATGTATGTATAATTAATGTAACTTTAGCTTTCGTGTCCTTCGGAATTAAGCGATTGATTACAGTCTGGTCGAAATTGAGATTCACTTGTACACTAAAAATCACTGACAAATTTTGGCACGCGTACAAATGTATTAGTACATGCCCTTTATATGGAAAAGCATCAGTGATTCCCAGTGTACAAGCTAGGCTTAAAGCTTGAATCTTGGATCTTGGATCAAATACCTTGCACGAAAATGAGTGGCGCGTAAAGCCCGTATCGGACTACGGATTGAGATTGAGATTAGATTGAAATTTGACCAATTAGAGCAAAAGTTACTAAACTTGAGATCAGTGAACTTTATTGTGACTGGTCAAATTTCAATCTAATCCCAATCTCAGTCTGCTACGGGCTTAAGGAAGCAGAAAAGCGCGTAGGAGGAGGAATTGCGGGTGTCGCGCCACCGAATTCGCTCGCTTGTTCGCGCGCGGCGCCCAATCCATTTGTCACGGGAGAAAGGCGTCGAAATTCCAGGCCTCGATTTAAATTGCATTGCGCAACAGGGCAGACCGTTCGCACTTTTCGGGAAGCGCGTGCACGCGTTGCTTCTCGATTCCACGGAAACGACCGGCGTAGCGAACAGCGTGTCGAAATCGAGCGCCGCCCGTAATAACGGCCTTGGTGCTAAGGTTATCGTTCCCACCCACTTGAAACTACTACTATTGCACACTAGATTCATTAATAATACCAGGGCCGTTTTATCGATCAAACGTAGGGTCTTAATCTTTTCTCAAGGTCTCGAGCGGGCTCTCACTTTTACGCTTTTCAACCGGATCTAGTTTCTTATCATTGCTCGCCGATTTATCGCGAATGAATATCCGGATGTACAATTGAATTGTATTACAGACAGCCGATTACACCGGAATTCCGGGAGAAGACTTGTTTAGATACACAGAGCTGAGAGTGTACTCTCTAAAAGTCAATCAGTGACCATTCGCTGTTTTCAGTGATAATTCGCTGATTGCACCCCGAGAAAGGATTTCTGTTACCGAGACAAAAATATTCTTGCCGCATTTATATTTCTCAACCTCATTTAGTATGAAAATACGACAATATCAAAATAGAATCAATAATTCTTATTCTCCTCTGTCGAATTAAAAAAGAATGGCTTACTATAATATCAAGACAACCCTAGGAGAAATGAAAAGTCAAGATGACGTCAATTTGCTGCCATATTGATCAAATTTACGTCATATTTGGTCATTTGATGTCATATTGACCAAA